TCGTACCGTTCTCCTGAGTGCGAAGCCTCTTACAGGGATTCTCGTCCAGGTCGTCGTCAGACATCTCCATCTCCTCCTCTCGTCTGATTCCCATGATCTCTTCACTGTGGGCGTTTCTCAGCTCCTGAAACACACGGCTCATTACGAACTCTGAAACAAGTGATTCCTAGAAACAGTGATGATCCATGTTATTAGTTCTACTACAACTTCCAAGATCCGAGAAGTTACTGAACTTCATTTTCTGTCTTGTTTTAATTGATTGATAAATAATGTAAAGAGTTTTAAAAGCTGCAGTTGTCGATCAATGATCCAAACTGAACAGAAACAATCGATTAAAAAAGATCTTATTTTAGTTTTGTGCTTAATTTCTTAGTGACAGAAGCGACAGGTAGCAGCAGCTCTGAGCGATCAGCTGTCAGCTTCCTCTGGATATTAAAATGTGTCAGTGATTCCTTCAGCTCTGATTCGACCCGATCGTGTGAATGTGGCTCGTTCCTGTTTGTCGTCAAATAAAAACGATGTGAACCAGAGAGAAGCTTCGACCTGCTGCCCCCTCCTGGGACAGAGATGTCGTTACAGCTGCCGTCTTCCTCACGTCCTCATCTGTCGACACGTTTCAGACGACAGAGAAGACTGCAGCGTCTCCTCACACTGAGCTGCTGCCTCAGACACTTACCACGCTCACCACAAGGAGGCGCTCACAGTGGGGCTGCAGCTCTTACCTGCATCACATGTAATGTTCTGTGTAACTGACTGACTCTGACCATCCAAGATACAAAACACACACATCACAAAACATTATTGATTTCAGTCGTGTTCACGGGACAATGATCTTCAGTGACTGACGATCTGAGAAGAAGACGATCAGTGATTGGAAACAAAGACAACGACTCTTCTCAGAAAGTGTCTCTGACACAAACGCTGCCCTCGTGTGGTGATGATGTCAATCGGTGATCAGGATGATTTGGCTTCACTTTTAGGATCCGTCATGTCGGCCATCTTTATTTAAAGTCTGTGTCACGGACTGAACATGTGAACCAACGTGGTCGTCCTAAAGTAACACTCACGTTACCACGGCGGATTCTAACCTGTGACTCTGACTTCCTCCTGTAACAGAAGCAGTGAGTTCACATGAGAGTGAAAAGATAAAGAATCGTCCTGTGAACAGATGTTTTGAATGAATCAAACACGCTGGATGAACATCTGTTTCATCATTTCTGTCTGTACCCCCCCCCCCACTTCTCCTCGTCACCCAGCGTGTCGCTGCTGCTTCAGCCTCATCTTCCTCCTGTTCATGCTCGTTATCTAGATTCCACTCTGGTTCACTGATTGATCACAAACGTAACCCTGGAAATCACCGTTGCCATGGCAGCGTCTCATACTTTCGAGAAGGCGTCAGATCTGTGCTTTACATGTGGATCTGCGGGGGAGGGGTGAAAGAGCTGCGACCAGGGGCCGCTGTCAGAAGAAGAAGAAGAAGAAGAAGCAGAAGAAGAAGAAGAACAGGACAGATGCCACAGGCCTGTCTGTCATCTGTCTCCTGGTGACAGCAGAGAAGAAAGCCGGGGGCGGGGGGGAGGAGAGAACAGAAAATGTACCAACCTCACACTGCTTTCTCCAAATGTCTATGTTCTTTCGCTGAGCTTTTGAGAAATGGTCCCACGCCTTTTGCCTGGTGGCGGCGGTGAAAACTGCAGAGATCTTCTCGACTTTGGGGCGAACAGGGGGGAGGGAGGAGGGAGGGAGGAGGGAGGGAGGAGGGAGGTCAAGACAAAACAAGCCGTTTATGCAGCGTTTAGCTTCGACTGACGAGAGACCGCCCACACACGCTGACCACGAGCTGCTCGTTAAAGGAGCAGTTCACTCAAACATGAACTCAGTGACATCATCAGCTCAGACTCCTGTAAACACACAGCCAGGACAAAAGGATGTGGAGCACAAGTGCATGCTGGGTATTAATTCACGGGCCGCATCCTTCAGACGACACGAAGGACGGTGTGGTGAAGAGAGCTCCGCCCCTCCACTGAAACAAACAGTTTCCAGTTTCACACTGTTTTTGAGTTAGGGGGCGTGTGTTTGCAGAACTGAGCCCGAGCAGACGACGACACGGTGACGGTTCAGTGAAACGCTCGTTTAAAAGGTCCGCGACAAACTCAAAACTGTTGATGAGCGAAAACATCGTTTGTTCTCAAACTTAATAAAGTTGTTTCCTGTGACTCGTCAGAGACGAGGACTCGAACATCAGGACAAAGTGTCGTCTGACGGCTTCGCGACTCGTCTCTGAGTCAACGTCAACAACGTCTGGAACAAACACCAATATAGAATCTTTCAGTTTAACCCCGCCTCCTGCAGAACCACAGTGAGCACGTTGACAGGAAATAGGCCGGGATTGGTCGATCCAGGCAGACGGACGCCATCTTGAGTGAGCGAGTCATGTGATGAGCATGTCTGTCTCTGTCCTTCTCTTCACTCAGGACTGACGAAGGAAAGGTTTCATTCTATCTGCACAAACCTGAACAAACAGAATCAGCTGAGACGACGTCTGTTTCCTGTCGGACCCCCCCCCCCCCCCCCCCCCCCAGCATCACATGATTGATCCTTTATTCTGAACTAAATCCAGATGTGTACATCTGCATTAGGTCGTTTGTTAAACCTGGATAAGAAGTTATTCTGCTCTGGATCTAATATTTTTCTCTTTCCACCTCGATCACCAGGTTTTCGTCACAGCTCAGTTTGTAGCGGGACGGAGAAACATCGTAAAGTCGTGAACTGTACGAACGTTTCTTCAGATTCATGAGATGAATAAAGTCACAAATAACAGAGAAGAATATAAAACGTGAATTAAGTTTCAGTTTTCTTTTTTAAATCAAACTTTGAGGTTCAGTGTGGAGACGACTCGTTCACACCGTGGTGGTGAAGGTGCAGGTACATTACTGGACAGTAGGTGGAGACAAACAAACACTGATTGAATCTGAGGTGTTTGGTGGATTTGCTGCAGACTGACACTCTTCATTCTGCGTCACCTGATTCGTCCTGAGCTCTTCATCTTGTCTTGGCCACAGGTCGGAACTATCTGCTGCTCGCTTGTCTCAGGAAGACGATCTGTGTTACACAGGACGCGCTGCGAAAACAGAGACTCTGTATCTTTAACTTTATGATTTTGTAAATTTAATATTAACAAACTCCATCAGCCCCGAACCAGTTTGAAGCTGGTTCTATTCTAGATTCTGATCTCAGTTGAAATATTGGTTTGAACTTCTATCACTTATTACGCAGAAACTTTTATTAACTTTTAGTTTGTATATAAAAGTTGTAGATCACTGAAAAGTGATGAAGTTAAAATGTATGTATTTTGTGGTTCAGGTGAAAAGTTGACGTCAGCCCCAGAGTCGAGACGTTTGTTGGTTAGCTTAGCTTAGCATAAAGACTGGTAGCATTTTAATCACGTTTTCCTCCAAAAACTTAAACAATAAATTTAATGGGAACAATCAGTCTGAAGCTGAATGAATCATCCAATCAGACGTCAGCGTCTCAGATGATTCTATTTGAATATTTGCGTCCTTCCTGTTTCCTTGCTCATGATGGTCGTGTAACTCGTGAACAGGAAGTGACGAGTCTTACCTGGATGACCGCACAGTCACGGTTACTATGGTGACACGTCCGTCTGCCTGGAAGCGTCTGTCGCTGTGACTGATGTGATTAAAAACAAAGAAGGCTCCTTACACTGAGTCAAGATGGCGAGCAGGGCGTTCTTGAAGGCCTCTTTGGCAACTTCCATCTCCTCCTCGTGCTGAGCTTTCTCGCTCATCAGCCGGCGCACGTGGCTGTTGGCCGACTGGACCATGGAGTAGAAGTGATTGGAGGTTCTGCGGTTGACTTCGCCGCGGTCGATCCACGTGAACAATACCGCCGTGGCCTCGCTGAAGTTATGGTCGTCTGAGAGAAAGGAAGAGGAGGAGCGAGAGGAATAGGAGGAGGAAGAGAAAGAGGAGAAGAAAGAGGAGGAGGAAGAGGAGGAGGAAGAGGAGGAGGAAGAGGAGGATGATGATCACATGTGTTCATCATTTATTAAACAACAACTGGAGCAAAATGTCGAACTTCTGAATTAAAACCTTGTTTTCATATTTGATACGTTCATTTCTGTCTTTTGTCCGTCACGTGAAAACAGTGATCTCGTCTGGGAGCTGGTTTTTTCGGACGTCAACATCCACACACCTGATGTTGTGGTCCACCAATAGGAGCGGTGCATTCTGGGTATTTAACTTAACTATCTTCTGTTTCCCGCTGGTTGTTTTTTGTCTCTCCGCTGAACAGTTGAGCTTGATGTGGTTTCTGCAGCAGTGGAAAGTCTTCACCCTCTGAACCAGACCGGTTCCCTCCCCAGCACCGGGACCTTTAACGCTCTAAAACAAACTGATGAAAATCCTCCTCTGGGGCGTTCGCTGTTCTCCGCTCTCTGAGTTACGCAACAGTCACTCAACACAAAAGGCGTTTTTGATTTTCAACTTTTCATCCAAAACCAAGAGCTGCGCTCAGCATCAGTCATGAGTCTCTGCGGGCCGCACGCTTTCCCCTCCATTTAAATAATAATTGAACGTTGCCACTGACGACGGCGCAGTGAATTAGAGAGCGTTTAATGAGCTCAATACCCACTGCAACACAACCTGTAAGAAACACTTTGCCTCGCTCTGATAAAGCCCCATTCACACACAGCAGCAGATTACAGTCACATTAGAGCGAACACAATGAGGCGCCGCTGAGCGCAGACGACGGAGGGAATAATGGAGGTTTATTTCCTCCGCTGTGCGAGGTGAAGAATGAATTTATAAAGGTTATTCAAAGAGAAACATGCTCTGCTGTTAGACTCCTGTTTTTGACTTCAACTGATAGTTCAGATTTTTCTGAACCATGGAAACGTGTTCGACTATAAAAACTTTAACCTTTAAATAATAATAACGACGTGAGTCAACACGTTTCAGGTGCAAAACAACAAATTCATGATAAAACCGGATTTTTTTCAGTGGAATCAGAATCAGTTGGATTATTAAATAAAGCTGAGGATTCTTTGAATAGTTGGATAATAGATAGAATAGATAACAAATGTGTCGGTCTGATCAGACTGAGTTTAGTGTGATTTATCTTTCTCACCTTTCAGTCTCTCTGCCAACATGGCCGCCTCGTGCTCAGAGTAGTGCACTATGGGAGGAGGGGACGGTGGTCGCAGACGGTCCTCGTGCACCTTGCGGCGGTGTCTTTCCTCTCGGGCCAGCAGCCGCTGTTTACACTCCCACTCGTACAGATCGTCTCTGGCCTGAGCGAAGTCCACGTGGATCCTCCCTGAGTCCTTTTTGTCGGTGCTGGATCCGATACGCATCCGATAACCTGGAGGAGAGAGAGAGGACGTATTTGTGCTGATTAGATACATCGGTTTAATGTTCAGGAAGATTTGAGGCTGTTACAGGAGCGGAAACAGTTTGAGAGTCTTTGTGTCCACGTGGTTCAGTCCACTGTGTGTGTGTGTGTGTGATCACCTGACAGGTATATAGCCTTGTCCACCATGAACTCCTCATTGAAGCGGATGTGGCAGAAGTTCTTCTTGCTCTTGCGGAGCGCGGTGATCTCCCCACACGGCTCAAACACCTCCCTGATGATCTCCTCCGTGGAGTTCTCCGGCAAACCTCCAACAAACACCGTCCTGCAGCCAGGGGGGCGCTCCCGAGTCGATGGAGGGGGCAGGTCTGCAACAATCATCATCACAACACTGAGTGTGTGAACACAACCCGTTTGTCTCTGTAACTAAAAACTATATTTCATGAACTTCTTGTTGTCGAGGAAACGTAACTTGTTTCACAGCATCAAGAGAATTAACAGCTGAGACTCTTTAATTTCAAACAAGTGCTCGTCTGCAGCCGTGTGTGTGTGAGTGTGTGTGTGTGTGTGTGTGTGTGTGTTTGTGAGTGTGTGTGTGTGTGTGTGTGTGTGTGTGTGTGTGTGTGTGTGTGTGTGTGTGTGTGTGTGTGTGAGTGTGTGTGTGTGTGTGTGTGTTTGTGAGTGTGTGTGTGTGTGTGTGTGTGAGTGTGTGTGAGTGTGAGTGTGTGTGTGTGTGTGTGTGTGTGTG